AAAATCTTTGTTAGTTGACTAAAACTATTTGAATAAAATGAACAAATAAATGTTCAGATCAATAATATTCTTGTTATTTGAGTACATAATTGATGATTGGATTGAACATATAAAATTGTTAGCTTAACAAATTGTTTGTTAGTGAACTAAAACTATTTTAATAAAATTAACAAATAAATGTTCAAATCAATAATATTATTGTTATTTGGGTACATATTTCATGATTAAAAGTTGAACAGAAGACCTTGTTAATTTTACCAATGGTTTTCCGTTCTGTGCAGTAGCTAATTGTTCGATCGCCGCTCGCCATGACGCGCTGATTAACAAAAATGTCTCTTTTAAGATTTTTAATATTTGAAAAACTAAACGTTATATTGAAATTCTGATACTTGCATCGTCTCGAACACATAATACTACATATTTAAACGCTAATTAAATTTCGAAAATAAAATGTTTAGGTCGGTAAATCGTTGTGTGAAGCTAGGAACTTTAACACGCATAAGATAGGCGATTACGATGAGTAGGGCCCAATGACGTCACGTGGCTATTCTACATATCTTAATATCTCTTAGTTAGTCTTTAGATAGTCTTTAGAATAGTCTTTAGACCATTAAAATAATTTTTAAATTTTATTAACATTTCAAGGGGGTATGTATAGTAACAATGCCTCATTATCGAATGTTTTGGAAAAACAATAGTCGTTATCCTTTGATTTCAGACAATATGTCCAGAAATCGGTTTGATAACCTCCGTTATTATTTTCATAAAAATGACAATGCAAAAAATGCTTTCTAGAACTCATTACTACTTTTTAAAGTACGTCCCTTTGTAACTGCTATTAAAAATAATATGAGAAAAATTAATTTTGAAGAATTTTCATCAGTTGATGAGATAATATAAATTATCAGCAAAATGCTGTACTCTACATTTATGGCTCCTTACTTGACCTAATTTTTTGTAATAATCCTAACCTAAAAGTTGAGTGCTGTCTACAGTTATTTGAGATTACTAACACTCACAACACTTATGAATTTTAGAACACGACTTTTGGTAAGTTCACTTACGTTATTGAATTTAAAAAAATACTGTACTGACGGGGTCCCGCGCAAAGGCAGTTTGAATTCAAACGGCCTTTACGCGGAAATCCGCGCTGTGTTCCTCAAACAAACCGCCAACCGACGACGACCGACACCAGTGCGCGACAACCGCGCTAGGATTTAAAATTAAACTTATTTAAAATATATTAAATTTTATAATCAAACATACGAAACATAACATGAAAAAACAAATTACTAATACTTAAACTATATTCATTTCATTAACAAAATTAAATAAAAAGTAAACCGAATACTACTTCTTTACCAATTAAAAATTTTAACGCTTTATACTATAACATCTATTACAAAGATTTAGTTAAAGAAATATTTATAAAACTGTTGAACAAGATACTGATACCCACTTTTTTCTATTAAAAAGTATTTTGTAACTGTAACTAATTTATACACCTACGTATAACATTTATTTTATATTAAAGTGTTTTTCTGTGATATATACGAGACACGTATAAAATATTTTTTTTCAAGGATATTGAACACAAAAAAACGTATTACCATGTGGTAAACCGATATGTTCTATTGTTTCCTTATAATAAGAGTCGTTTTGTATCCAAATAAGGATATACCAACTGTGCCCAAATGACCTTTTTTTTGTAAACTGTGCATCTGTGTCTGAAACTTATTTCAATATAGGTACAGTAGAACTTCGATTAACCGTCACTGTCGGGACCGGGGGGCCTATTCTCAAATCGATCGAATATAGATGTCGAATAAAATTGTTCGATTGTCCAGTTTCGATCAGATTTATTCATTCGATGGCGGTTTTTCGATTTCAGGTATTCTGGGGGCCTATTCTCAAATCGATCGAATATAGATGTCGAATAAAATTGTTCGATTGTCCAGTTTCGATCGGATTTATTCATTCGATGGCGGTTTTTCGATTTCAGGTATTCTGAAATGACGATCGAACAAAAACTTTTCGGTCGTATTATTTTTCGACTATCGAATAATAATCATATGATTTACTTTGTTTTCCATGAAATAGACATATTATTGTTGATACGTTATCTAGTATATTCAATTTATTATATTATATTGTTATTAGTTATTCTTATTACATATTATATTATGTTATTGTAATTGACGTTATAATAATTTAAGTTTTTACCACCGTTTTTTAAACCATTTTAATATGTCTCAAATAATTAAGAAGTCTAAAGGAAAGTCATGTACTACTTCCCAAAAAGAAGCGATAGTTGATTTTATTAAACTACATCCGGAGTTAAATAAAGGTAAATTCACTCAAAATTTCACTAAAAAACACAGCCAAGCTTTGTGGCAGGAACTCGCAAAACACTTGCATACATTAGTTGGTGCAGTTAAAACACCACAGCAATGGAGAAAAGTAAGTTTTATAGATATCTACCCAGAATACCTAGAACTTCTTATTACTTACCACAAACATATTGTATATACACCATTTATACCTTATACCTACAAGGGAAACTGATCTCAACAAGTACTAACAAGGTATATATTTAAACTACTTAGTGTTGGATTGACATGAAGTGTAACGCAAAAACTAAGAGTGTCCAAGTGAAGAAAAGTTTTAAAACTACTGGTGGTGGTGAAAATGAATTTCCAGATGGTCTTGATACACTGGAAGAAGATATTGTTCACCTCATCGGTCAAGTACCAATTAATGGACAGCCTCACACTGAAGAGCCATTAATAGTCTTTGAGGGTTACAACATGGACATTATGACTATGTAAGAATTATTTTCACATTCCTTTTTATAGCCTTAGACAGACAAAAATGTTTTATATAACTTTTGTAGAGAAAATAATGAGACTGTTAAATTCACTGGCAATGAAACTAGTCTGGGTGAAGATTTGAATATTGTGTACGAGTCCAACGCTCATGATGGTGAAAATTATGATGAGAACTATATATGTACAGCTTTGGATACTTCTGTCCAGCCAAATGTTGAAAAAGTTGAAACTGTGACCACCAAATTAAGGTTTTATTAATGATATTGCATTTTTTGGATATATATGTGTGTATTCAGTGTTTGATATAAATTAAATTAAGATGGATTTAATAATAATTATAGTTATAATTACATAATCCTATTAAGCCATTAGTAAATAAATAAATATATAAATACATATATATATATATAGAATGGCTGGGGAACGTAAACGTGTATAGATAACTATAACTACACGGGTTAGAAAAATAGCGTCGAACCAAAACCAAATCACGTTTCGTTATAGGTATAGGATAGTATATACGGAAGTAGGTAAGAAAATTTAAGTGTTAAATTTGTGAATAAGCAGACAAATTGTCAAATCAAAAAATGTATAAGGTTCCCTGCAATTCTATAATAATAATATGTACTTTTGTGGGAAAAGGGTAGGTTATAGTTTCAAAACTCCATAAAGATTTGCTCACTGGATCATTATTTATTTTTATTTTTATTTATAACTTCATTCAACAATTGACATTTGGATACATTAAATTGTATTCTTGTTAATATTTTGACATTTTTAATTTATGATGTATTTTTAAATTAAATTGTTGTTACTTTTTTGTTCTCACATATAGCCAAAACATTATAGTTATTCTCTTGGTTGTGCATTTTAATATTTCTTAATTTCTACATTATTTTATAACATTTCATAATTAAGGTTTGGTTTAAATTTAACTACTAATTATGTAACACTTGGTTATAAACTATTTTACTTACTTCATCAATATTTATTTTTTTATTGTCTTAATAATTAGATTAATAGTTTTATATAATTTGTGATTTAGTTTTATCAAATTCTATTACAGTACTTAAGTTAGGAAATACTATATGAATGTATTGTATAAATTAAAATAAATAAACTGTATGAATATACATACAATTTTATGGTTAATAATATATACCTATTACAGAAAAATTGATGCGTTAAAAAAATCATTGGATAAAACTGGCAACCTGGAATCCATTAGTGTAGAAAGAAATAATTTGTTAAAGAACTATTATGATAGGAAATTATTACTTATGGAGAGGCAAACTAATGCTTTGGAAAAAATTGCCAACAAAAACTGTTCCTGTAGTGTAAATGTAATGCCAATGAAAATGTAGTTACCCAGATACATTGTACAGTGTGTACACACATACACACATATATAATATATATATATATATATATATTTATGTTTTAAATGCAGTATAATATTAATTTAACCATATTATTCTTAAAACAGTTGTTTTGTTACTGAATTTAAATATTTTATTTTGTTTAATAATTTATTATGTTTTAAATGCAGTATAATATTAATTTGACCATATTATTCTTAAAACAGTTGTTTTGTTACTGAATTTAGTTATTTTATTTTGTTTAATAATTTATTATGTTTTAAATGCNTAATAATTTATTATGTTTTAAATGCAGTATAATATTAATTTGACCATATTATTCTTAAAACAGTTGTTTTGTTACTGAATTTAGTTATTTTATTTACTTATCTTAAGATTAATCTTATGTATTATAATATTAGTACAAGTGCATAATTTTTTTTATATTTACTTATGAATAATTTTACATAATAAAGAGTTGGTTATTAAATGTATTATTTTAATAATGTAAGTTGGTACTTTTAAAATTTAAGTAAAATAATTTTGAATAATTGCTGTTTGAAAACGCCTCCCTGCTGTTAGTTCTGGATCTATCCGATTCGCTAACTCATTGTCCGGTAATCCTTGATTGGGTATCATACCAAAGTCTATATGTTCTAAATTTATCTCATCATTATTTATAATTGGAAGACGGTTTGTTATGCAAATGTTGTGTAGTATTACACATGCATTTATAATTTTGGCCGCTTTTTCTGGATGGTAGTGTAGTGTTCTATCTTTCAGAAGACATCTAAACAGGAAAATTACTTTATTTAAAGTCTACGAATTGTGAAAATTTAATTTGATTCAAACCTAAAACGCATTTTAAGCACTCCATTACACCTTTCTATTGTTGACCGAGTTCTGCATAACCATTTATTATAATTTGACTCGGGTCCCCCTACTTCAGGTTCATGTATGGGTGTCAATAACCAAGGTCTAAGGCCATACCCTGAATCGGCTAAAAATAAATTGCATATAGGTGGGTGTTAAAAACTTGTTTAGTTGAATATTAATAATTATTTCTAAATTTGTTACCCAACAAAAAATTAGAAGTTTGTCTGATAGAATGGATATATTTTAATACATCAAGCACTGGGCTTACACGCCATATATGACTGTCGTGGGCACTCCCGGGAAACTTAGCACAGACATTAAGGATCTTTAAGTCACAATCACAAATCTATTCAAAAATATTTTTATTAAACCGGTACAAAATATTTCAAGAAAGTGCCTGTCAACTAAAAGAAAATATTACCAGTTGTGTATTAATACTATGATATCCTTTTCTATTTACATAGATGTGTTCAGGATAAATGATATCATGTTGTTTTGGTGGTACAATAGCGATGTGGGTACAATCAAGTACCCCAACTACTCCAGGTACTCCGTATTTTTCATAGAACCTAGTATGCAATATGTAAAATACAATACTGCATTAATATAAAAACTAGCGAGAACAATTTTAATATTAAATTACTATCAGCAACTATTATTACCCTAAACGAATAGAATTAAGTTCATTAATGGTTGATGGAAATCTAATGTACTGATTCATTATTTGTGGTAGGTTTAAAGCGTTTGCAACTTCAGTGATACATCTGCTAACTGAGGCCTGACTGAGTGCAGATCCTCTGTGTTCACCTATGTCCTGTTGATAGCTACCACTAGCAAAAAAGCGAAGTGCTGTCAATACCTGTAGATCATTTTAAATTACAAATGAAAATAAAATAACATAAGTTTTTATTATTTGACAATAGGTAGGTTTTTTATTAAATAAATGTAAACATATAATTTGAGTAGTGTTATAGTAAGGAGTGTAAAAATAACTTCAAGAAATATTGGTACACAATTTATTCAAATCTTTATTTATATTCTATGTTCAATTACACAATAAATAAGCGAGAATAAATATTAAATTAGGTGTTCATGCTTAATTCGTAATAATATTACATTAGCCATTTAAAATTTTTATTAGGTAAATGGTAAGTAGGTATTCAATAAATATTTATAGGTACTAAATACTGTAGTGCAAATAAATACTAAATAGTAAGTAGTGATCCAAACTACAATATAAACGATTTTTCATATCCTAATAGGTATGTCTTAAATATATTTTTTGTTAATTGTGGTGTATCTACATAGGTATTAATAACTATCAAGATTTGATAGAGTTATTTCTGAAACGGTGATTCAATCGATATTTAAATGACTAATTCAATTACCAATACTTAACTTTCTATCAATACTAAGACCAGCATTTGTTTTAGGTGCCATCATATGTGGACTCAGACTTTGACATAATTCTTTTACCAATGATTTAGATAGCCGGTAAGTTCCTAAGAACTTTCTGTCCGAGAGAACTAGATAATAATTAAATAAAAGCATATTAGTAATACCTGTAAATAATGATATTTACATAATGTGATGTTAAATAATGAGAAATAAAAAATGTTTACTAGTAAACGGATCTTCCTGCGCCATGAGCCGCCTATCTTCGTTAAATATATTTATATCTAAATAGTTTACAATGTTTTGATAATTGTATAAGATTTCCAACTCGTCTGCCATTTATTTCAAATTATATATAACTTCTATAACTTATTATATATAAGTAACTTAAGTTCAAATTAATTAACCATAATCAACTAAGTACATACCTATCCAATATTAATTCAATAAAAACAATAAACTACCTACTACCTATGCTATCAATTCTATCGTCGAATCTGAGATTCGATCACTAAATACCAGTCGATGTAGAATGTCGAAAAGGGTGATCGAAAACATGATCGAATACTGTTTGAGAATACGGTTTTGCCCATTGATCGAAACATGAATGTTTTTCGATCGATTTCCAGTCGAAAACGTTTTTCGATCGATTTGAGAATAGGCCCCCGGGGCTATGACGGTTAATCGAATAGACGGTTAACGGAAATTTTGCAAAAAAAAACGTGTGCATACATATATGTACACACATTTATAACATATAAATTAATTATTATAACACATATAAATTATAAACATACATACCACACATATTATAAAAAAAAATCTGTAATTTTAGTTTGGTTTTTTGATTCTCTAGCTTTTTTAGCAGCAATATTACGTATTTGACGTAGAAGTAAGACTTGCGTAGCATTTGACAATCGTCTAATCGCCTCATTATTTATTTTTTTCGGCGATGACCGATGACGGATAACAGAGAGTTAGACGGTTAATCGAAGTTCTACTGTATACAACATTTTAATTCACTACGTTATCTTTTATGTAACAAATGTGAACTGTATATAACTATATAAGTTATAAGGCAAATAACTATTATTTACAGTTATTCAATTTAATAGTTTGGTAGGCAAAAACACGTGTTTGGGCATTTTATCCAAAATCACATATCGAGTTTTTACGATAATATTTTAATATATATTATAGCGAGTATGCACATGAACCACCAATTTGAGAAATGACTTAAGTCAATTAAAGGTTATTCGGGGAAAATAATAAAAAACTTTTTTTAAACAACCAGTTACCAATACAGTATGTAAATTAACTAGAATGTCAGTAGTTGTGATTCGAAAAATAATTCAGATATTGTAATGCAGTTTTTTCAATGTAAATATGACTAATTGCCTACCTTTAATATTGGTCAAAGTAAAAATAATAAAAAACCAATTACATTTTTTTGAACATTTGAAAACAGCTATTTCATAGAGAACTTGTAATATGAAGAAAAAATAATATTGAAATCCGTTTAATTTTGATAGATCGAAAGAAACTTCTATTAAAAAAAAAATATATAAAAATATAAAAAATATTATAGTTAAATTGTATATTTTTAGTAACTATAATGATCAGAACTCATAACTTCTAGCATTTATTTTACACATTTCTTTATAGAGGATCTGGGGACGTATATTTGAGCTATTAATTTGTTTTAAAAACCTAAGATGTTAAATGTGAAATTCTATGTTGCATATTTTTGCATATTTAAAAGTTAAAATGACATTTTGCTTTTTTAAGTCTTTCTCAGTACCGTAGCCTTTAAACATTTTTTTCTTAATAACAACAAGTAATTATAGTAGTATTAATTATTTATATTTGTAATTACATTACTTTTTAAACTCAAAAAAAATGTAAATTTACCAAATAAAAAAAAAAATAACTTAAAAAAATTTAGTTACAATTTTGATAAGGAATTAGTAATGTAATTTAATTACCAAAAAATAGTAATTTCACCAACACTGGAAATTACGTAATATAAAACTGCTCATTATTCATTTATAAACTTAACTTTTGTAAAAAAAATCAACCCAACACGTGAATATTCGATTTTGATAGGTAGGGTATGTAAAAAAATACAATCCGATGTAATAATTCAAACACAATTTAAAACTACTTACAACTTAAAACTTATTTTATATTGGTAGGTACTATTAATTTTACTATATGCAATGCAATTTTAAAAATATAAAGATTAATTTAAAGATATTATCTTTTTTTACGATGAAACTATTCATACTATTTTACGTTATTTCTAGTAAGGTATAATGAACTCGAAAGTCAATTACAATAATTATATGGTATACATTTATTGTTTTAAAATAATTTATTAAATAAATCTACAATTTTAAAATACTTTCAATTTTAAATTTCGAAATGTTTTTTATAAAAATTAATGTTGTGCAAATCCAGTGCTTGGTAAAGAATATTCTCGCTTTCAAACATTTTTTTAAAAACTATTATTGTGATAAATTAGTATAAAAAATTTTAAAAAAAATGTTAAGTAATATTACTATTGTAGTACTAAATTTCTCACTTCATTTAAAAACGTTTAAAATTGAAAAAGTCGATTTTCATTTTTATAAAAATGTAGATAACAAGATATATTTATTTTTTTTAGTTTGTTTGTTCACATCAACGTGAAATGATTATTAATGCGTATAAATCCAAATTGGCAGTCGATCCAAATTTGACTGTTAGAAAGGCGCGCGAAATCCTCTCTAAGGAATTGGGAATTGGTCAAAAGACAATTTCGAACACAATTGCCCAATATCGCGAAAACAAAACAGTGTCTTCGCCAAACAAAATAAAAATTTTCAAAAACGTTGAAACAAAAGTTGACGATTTTGATAAATATGCCATCAGAAGGAAAATCCATCAGTTTTGGTTTAATCGTGAACTGCCGACGTTAGATAAAATTTTGACGGTAGTTAATGAAGATCAAAGTCTACCAAGTTTCTCCCGCACATCATTATATCGATTAATGAAATCAATGGAATTCGAATATGCTAAACGAGGTCGTAACAGCGCGTTACTTGAAAAAAACGAGATATTTCTTTGGCGAAGACAGTACATTAGAGATTTACGAAAATACAGAGAAGAAGGTCGTTAAATTTATTATCTCGACGAAACTTGGGTGAATGCTGGAGATGTTACGAGCAGAATATGGAGTGACAATACTGTACAATCTAGCCAAGACGCTTTTTCCCAGGGACTATCAACAGGTGCAGTCAATCCCACAGGTAAAGGGAAGCGACTCATAGTAGTTCACATAGGGTCCGAAGACGGATTTGTTCCAGGCTTGCTTCTATGTTTCGAATCTAAAAAAAACACCCAAGACTATCACGACGAGATGAATGGGGATTCTTTTCGTGATTGGATGGAAGGTGTTTTGCCGAGACTCAAGGACAATTGTGTGATTGTGATGGACAACGCTCCTTATCACTCAGTGAAAAAAGAGAAATGTCCAACTACGCAATGGCGAAAGTCAGACATCATCGATTGGCTCACAAGTAAAGGGGAGGTAATCGATAACTCGATGATAATTCCGGAGTTATTAAAAGTGGTAAAACAGTTGAAACCTTTGTATTCAACCTATGTAATTGACGAAATGGAGCAAAACAAAGTAGTCTTACGTTTACCTCCCTACCACTGTGAGCTAAATCCTATAGAATTAGCTTAGTCTGTCGTCAAAAATCACGTAAAAGCCAACAACAAAACTTTTAAGCAAGCCGACGTACGTAATCTTCTAATCGAAGGTACTGTAAAAGTGTAAAAGTTACTGTTGAGATGTAGAAAAACTTTATCAGCCACACCACGAAAGCAGAAGACAAGTTTTGGGACATGGACAATTTGATTGATGAACTGATGGCAGAACAACAGACAGTTGTACTAACTATCGGCAATTCTGATGACGAAGATGATTCTGATTTTTAATGTTTTTTTAATTTATGTGTAAATATTTAACTTGTATACTTTATGTGACTGAAGTTTTTTTACTATTGACAATTTTTTTATTTTTTTTTATGTGTAAATATTTAATTTGTATATTTTATGTGACTGATTTTTTTTTACTATTGACAATATTTTTATTTTTTATACATAATATAGTTACTCGTTTGTACATTATTATTTCAATATTTGTGTATCTTATATTTATCATACAGATAAACCTCTGTAGTCTATAATCTATAATAAATTCCGTATTTTTTATTATGGACTTATTAATAAGTACTATGTTTGCTAATAAAATTAATTTTTTTTTTAAGTACAGCTATTTATATAGGACTAAGCATAATTCAGACATAATTATTTGGGAAACCGATTATTATTACGCAGTAACCTGTATTTGTTTAATTTTGTTGTACGGCATTGATTTCATTCTTTGTAATTCGGTGTATACACATCGACAATAGTCGGTAAAGTTCGGAAATGATCATCGGCGGATGGTAGTGGGGGAAATTGTGGTAAAGCGTTGCTACGCTCGTCATTCGAGCTGCGCAAAACAGGTGTCTTCTCTTTTGGAACGGAGTATACTTATATGAATATTATTAAAATAGTTCACATTAACAGCGTTGTGTTGCCCCAATAGAGATGACAACGACCAGATAAGCAAGGGACATCCGGCGTGTGCAGCGCGTGGCCGCCCACGGAATAACCTTATATGATAAAGTAGTAGGATAATAAGCAGGGATACGATCCAAGGATCACCATTATAAAATATGTCGCTCGAATAGGCTTCGGCAGACGGACCAACACCAACGACGAGCTAGGAGCTAGGAGTATGACAGTCACATCTCGCTAGTCTCCATTCCTTAATACAGTCAATTTGGACTTATGAAATTTATTGTTTTTGTTATAATCAAATAAAAGTATTCAAATTATAAAGAAAAGAACAACTCTTATTTATTTTACAACACCAACAAACGGACGTAGTCGGTTTGTTACAGGACGGATAAAAAAAACTTGGCAAGTTTTTTATAAGGAAATATTTCGGCATGTTTATAATTATAGAATTTAGACCAAAATTTATCCGTATCCTTTTCTTCAGTTATTTCATTTGTAAATTATTCAAGCGGTAATGAACGCCATTGATCATCTAAAACCTGTATTTCATTTTCGTTTTCTGAATTAACAATGCGAAGTAATTTTTGTATAAGACTTTGAATAGAAGGTGTCGATTCTCGAGCCATGTTTGACAAAGCTTCTTTGGGGTTTAGACATTTTAAAAGAGGCAAGACAGGATCATTAAAATCATACATTTTTTTAAGTTGAATGCAGCTGGTTTGTAGAAAGTCCTTGCATTTGGAATAAAAGTTGGATAATAAATCTGGACGTTGACGCGTACATTCACGAATGTTGGACGGTGGTCCTGCCGATGAGAGACTCTCGGGGCGAGGTAGCGTCGAAGGTTTTAGAAACAAACCAAAAAAAATACACAATCTGATGGTGTCGCACGGACGTGCGGAAAACTTAATTTATTTAGGTTGCTGATCAATAACAAAATAACAAACACAAAAAAATGGTTCGCGCGCGGGAAAACAGGCGGCCGTGCGTCCGTCTCAGTGATGGTATGTGTGATAACACCGAATTCCCTTGACATGGCTCAAAATTTCCCTTTTTCAGTCAAAATTTCCCTTCATAAAAAATTTTTTTAACTACTATTGTTCTGTGATACTACCTCTTACAAACCTATACTACAATAAACTATTTAGGAGAGGGACGAGCTTAGATAATATACATTATCTAAGGGGATGAGGCCAGGATGTTTTTAAGACTTTATCCATAGAAATTAGCATTTAGCATCATAACATAATACCATGGTCCATGAATTATCACATATATGACATATATGTGATACTTATATATATAATAATAATATATATATATTTAATAATTACCTATATATATATAATACATATATTATATGTCATACTATTAACTTAACAATTATACAGGGGTCAATAACACACATAGTTGGAAAACCAATAAATTGCTTCGCTCCGCTCAAAATATAAATACAGCAGTATTGAAAGAAAATTACTTTAAACTTTATATAATTTCATTAAAATAATAACAGATTAACAATTTTAACAAATTTGGCAATAGTGCAAAACAAACAAGAAAATAAATATTTTATAGCATCCTGCTTTAAAAAAAAAAAATGACAATAGTACAAAACTAATGAAAAAATAAATATTTTTTAGCATCCTGCTTTTTTAAAAAAAAGTAATAATACCAAAATATAAAATATGTATGCAAACTCAACAATTAACAATTGTCTTACAAATAACAAATAAAATAAAAATTGAAAAAAAAAATGTTAACTTTGGTAAATAAAAATATCACTATACTAATTAGCAAATAGTAGTAATTAATTTCTAACATATATAACAAATAACAAGATACTAACAAAAATAAAAAATAGTAGTTACATAGTTAAGCTGACTAGTTGTGTTGACTAGTAAATTATAATAGAAGCTATTTATCTTTGTATATATTTTGATTGTGGAGATCTAAATGAGACTGCGTAACTTTAAACTCTGCACAAGATATTTCTTTATCCTGGAAAGAAGATCTAATAACTGTAACAGCATTTAAAGTATTATCAGCTAATTTGTTTCTTTTCTTGGTCTTGACATCATTCATTACTGAAAAAATACGCTCTGCTTCAGCATTACTATGAGGTAAGGTTAATACGAGACTGGCTAATTTTGATATATTGTAAAACTTGAAGTAGTCATTGGTAAAGTCTTTGGCTTGTCCTATATCATACCACATTTTACTAATACTGAGTTGTTTCATCTTTAAGCACTCATTGTTACTAAAAAAATAAGGCAATGTTCGCCATTCTTCTAAAGCATTGTTACAATAGATCACATTTTTAAATGTACTTAGAAGATGATGTAAAGTTTCAAATCCTTCTCTGTTTGTAGCATTTAGAGCAACTTCATAATCCAAAAATCCCATTTCTTTAAATAATGCGTTATTAAAAGGTAGTCTCAAACTTATTTCTTCTGCAGCTTTGATGTAAAAATTTAAACATTTATTTTTGAATTCAGTAACTAATTGACGTGGTAAAGTTTTTAAAATTGTTTCACACTCAGTACCAACATAAATTTCAGATTCAGGGAGAAAATTATTAGGATCTTTAAAGTTTAAATTACATATATCTTCTGTTAATAAAGCTGGTTTTATAAAATTTTGACTTATAGATTTTAAGAGTCTAATAGAATTAGTATGTAGTTGGTGAATAATGGTTTTTCTTGTTTGAAATAAAGCGTTAAATGAATTGAAATAGTCTAATGAATGTTTGAGAAAAAAAAAATAAGCTTTAACCACCATATTGTTTAGAGTATCCAAAATTTGTTCAGCACTTTTCAAGTGATCTTCTACAACAGCAAGTCTGAAGTATTGAGTAAGACCATCACAACAATCTATCATCCTCACGACACACTGGTGAAGTGCTAACCATCTTGTTTCAGCCAGTTTTAAGATTTTCTTTTTATGGCCATCGAAAAATTCTTGAATTTCTACTAATATGGCAGTTCTTTTTGCGCTACCAGAGATATATGTTGAAACGTTTCTGATTAGATCTTCTGGTGACCGAGGTAATTGCTGTGCTGCCTTACTGGCAGCAAGGGCCGCCGAGTGGCAAATACACTGCATTAAAATTAAATCAGGATTATCGCGTTTCAAGTGCGAAAAAAAAGAATTATGCTTCCCTATCATAACGTTTGCCCCATCACTAGCTACACCTATGAGATGAGACAAGGAAATATTTTTGGACGCAAAACATTGTTTAAATTCTTCATATAATTTAGAAGCACTGCAGTCAGTTGCATCAACTGGTAATAGTTCCAATAATCTCGTATGAACCACTCCACTATCTGGTTGTACATACCTTACCAAAATACAAAGAAATTTGTGCATACTGATGTCAGTACTTTCATCTACAAGAGCAGAGAAATGAGAATTTTTAATAATACTAACTGTAACATAGGTTTCAACTGGCGCAATTACATTTTTTACAATACTTGTACATTTTTTTCGATGCAGTTGAACCTTTTCCATGATTTTCGAGTCTGGAAATATTTGTTTCAGAACAGGAACCAGTAAATCAACCGTCTGAAATGCTATGTTATTGGTAGCGAAAAAACTAGACAATTTTATTTCAGCCGATTTTACATTTATAATTTCTTTCTTAGAATTTTGGTCATCAGTTTTGGTAAATGAAGTCATTGACATACCTCCACGCAATCCTTTAACATTGGATTTATGTTTTAGTCCTAAGCTATGTTTTGTTAACTCACTTTTACCGCACGTGAGTATTGAATTGCAAGCAATGCATTTAAATTTAGTTGGGTCATTGATAACATTTTTCAACCAAGGCTTATATTCCTCCACTTGAAGCCATTCTTGACAGAATAATTTTGTTTGAACTCTTTTTTTTCAGCTTTAGTGAGCTCATTCCTTATCGCCCTTTTTTTTTTTTGGTGTTGATTGCTTAGGATTCATCTCAACATCAGAATCGATATCCATCTCAACGTCAGAATGAATATCCATCTCATATGTAGCACCTATATTTGAAAGATATAGAACAATGAATAATATGTAAAAAAAGGAATTATTGTATATTATGTGAATATAAATATTATTTATTAATAATACATACTTAGGAACAATTGTTAAAATATTGAGCGTTGACCGTTTACGTCAATCACGTATTCGTTTATTCGTTATTGACTCTTGTGTTGTATGTTTGATATTTGATAATACGATTATGTAAGTTGATAATTGATAGATAATATCGTTATCATTTAATTATTTTATAACCAGCGTCTATAAGGTTTTTGGTATATCTTAAATCGTGTCTGTGATCAATTCAATTTGATAAGGATAAGATCATAAAGTAATATCACAGAATAGATTAAATT